ATTATTGAATTTTTTAAATATGTTTTAATATCTTGAAAGGACATTTTTTCAGAATTTTCCTGACTATTCTTATTTGTTTAAATTTTCTCATAAAACTTCAGAACTATCTTGTCATATTTATTTTGGGAGGATCTCAATACGTTACTGGAATCTAAGTTGAATTAATGTAGAGACAATTAACATTTTTATAATGATGAGTATTGTATTTCTATCCAAGAACATGATATCTTTCCACTTATTTTAGCCTTTTACATCCCTGGTCATAAAGAAAATACAAATCAAAACCACCATAAGATTCCACCTCACTCCTGTCAGAGTAGCTAACATCAAGAACACAAACAATAGCAAATATTGGCAAGGATGTGAGGAAAAAGGAACCCTCATACACTGTTGGTGAGAATGCAAATTAGTACAACCACTGTGGAAAACAGTATGGAGAATCCTCAAAAAACTAAAATAGAACTGTCATATGATCCAGCAATACCACTCTTAGGGATATACCCAAAAGAATGTAAGTCAGGTTATAATAAAGACACCTGCACACCCATGTTTATTGCAGCATTATTCACAATAGCAAAGCTATGGAAACAGCCAAATGACCCACTACTGATGAATGGATTAAGAAAATGTGCTATTTATATACAATGGAATTTTATTCAGCCATAAAGAAGAATGGAACTTTGTCAGTTACAGATAAATGAATGGAATAGTGTTTCTAAGAGTCACATGTTTTCTTTCATGTGTGGAATATAGGCCCAATAATAATACAAGCAATATTATATATACATACAAATATATACAGAACATGTACCCAGAAATAGGACTGGTGGAGGAGACCAAGGGAGCAGGAAAAGAAGGAAAGAAAGATAGTGAATAATAATGAAGTACATCACATCTGTGTAGAAACAGGACACAAGGAAACATGCTGAAAACTCTTAAACATCACAGGATGGGGGGAAAAGGGCAAGGAAGTATGGTAGAAAGGGGTTACATTGATTTAAGCACAATGTATGTACAGGTATAATACCAAGGCAAAAATCCCACTGAACAATGAACAGATACCTAAGCAATGAAGGATAAGAATGGAAAACAGGTCATGATAAGAAGAGGGAATTAACAGGAGAGAGAGGGTAAAAGAAGGAAGTAAAGAAGGTGAATGCGATTAATGCATTTTCTATGCAAGAATGAATATAGAATTTTTAAACCTAATGAAATCACCATAAGAAAGGGACTAAGGTAGAAAGAAGAAAAATGAATGGGATGAATCAATTTGGGATATAATACATATGTACATGGAAATGTCATAATGAAACTCCCTGTAGAGCTATCTTAAACAAATAAAAATGTCTTTTTCCTAGAGTAGGAAATACTCTGGAATTAGTAGGTATAGGTAAGAACTTTCTCAATGGAACCCCAGCAGCACAGCAACTAAGAGATAGCATAGATAAATGGGACTTCATAAAACTAAAAAGCTTCTGTTCAACGAAAGAAATGGTCTCTAAACTGAAGAGAACACCCACAGAGTGGGAGAAAATATTTGTCAACTACACATCAGACAAAGGACTGATAACCAGAATATATAGGGGAAATTAAAAAACTGAATTCTCCCAAAATTAATGAACCAATAAAGAAATGGGCAAGTGAACTAAACAGAAATTTCTCAAAAAAAGAAATTCAAATGGCAAAAAAAACACATGAGAAAATGCTCACCATCTCTAGCAATAAAGGAAATGCAAATTAAAACCACACTAAGATTCCACCTCACCCCTGTTAGAATAGCCATCATTAGCAACACCACTAACAACAGGTGTTGGCGAGGATGGGGGAAAAAGAACCCTCTTACACTGTTGGTGGGAATGTAAACTAGTAGAATCACTCTGGAAAAAAATCTGGAGGCTTCTTAAAAATCTAAACATTGATCTACCATATGACCCAGCAATACCACTCTTGGGGATATATCCAAAAGAATGTGACACAGGTTACTCCAGAGGCACCTGCACACCCATGTTTATTGTGGCACTAATCACAATAGCCAAGTTATGGAAACAGCCAAGATGCCCCACCACTGACGAATGGATTAAGAAAATGTGGTATCCACTCTTGGGGATATACCCAAAAGACTGTTACTCCAGAGGCACCTGCACATCCGTGTTTATTGCAGCACAATTCACAATAGCCAAGTTATGGAAACAGCCAAGATGCCCCAACACTGACAAATGGATTAAGAAAATGTGGTATCTATATACAATGGAATTTTATGCAGCCATGAAGAAGAACAAAATGTTATCATTCGCTGATAAATGGATGGAATTGGAGAACATCAGTCTGAGTGAGGTTAGCCTGGCCCAAAAGGCCAAAAGTCATATGCTCTCCCTCATATGTGGACATTAGATCAAGGACAAACACAACAAGGGGACTGGACTTTGATCACATGATAAAGTGAGAGCACACAAGGGAGGGGTGAGGATAGGTAAGACACCCAAAAACTAGACAGAGTTTGTTGCCCTCAACACAGAGGAACTAAAGCAGATAATTTAAAGCAACTGAGGCCAATAGGAGAAGGGGACCAGGAACTAGAGAAAAGGTTAGATCAAGAAGAATTAACTTAGAAGGTAACACACATGCACAAGAAATTAATGTGAGTCAACCTCCTGTATAGCTATCCTTATCTCAACCAGCAAAAACCCTTGGTCCTTCCTATTATTGCTTATACTCTCTCTTCAACAAAATTAGAGATAGGGGAAAAATTGTTTCTGCCAGGTATCAAGGGCGTGGCGGGGGAGTAAGGGAGGAGGCAGGGTGGTAAGGATGGAAGAGGGGGAAGAAATGACCCAAACATCGTATGCACATATGATAAAAATAAAAAATAAATAATAAATAAATAAATAAATAAATAAAAATGTCTTTTTCCTGAAACAGAGGACAGGAAGGTAAAACAGGTCCTGTCTGGGGGTTGGTACCAGTGGGAAAGGGGAATATATAAGCAAAGGGCGTAGCTGAGTCAAATGATGAAAATACTATGTATTCATGTATGAAAATGGAAAAATGAGACCTGTTGAAACTATTCTAAGAATGGGAGAGTGGGGATAAAGGAGAATGATGGAGGGGGTGAATTCAAATATGGTATGTCATAAGAACTTTTGTAAATGTCACAAAGTACTCCAGTACAATAATAATATCATAATAAAAATAAAAAATAAATATATTTTAGGACATGTATTTTATTCATGTAAATGTTGTATCTTTCCAGCAAAACTTAGTCCTGTATATTTTATATTTGTTGGTGCTATAGTAAATTGCAGGGATTTTTCCCTTCTATTATAAAGTATGCATAATAATGTCCTCTCCAAAGATGTCCACGTCCTTATTCTAAAACCTGTGAATATGTAAGCTACACAGAAAAGGGGCAGTAAAACTGCTAACCAGTTGATCTTAAAACAGGAATATTATGCTGTATTATCTGGGGTGGGCTCAATATAATCACATAGGTCTTTAAATGTGCAAGAGGGAGGCAGAAATTCTCTGGGCCAGATTGATGTGATGTGAGAAAGACTCATCATGGCTTTGAAGATGGAAGGGGCCACAAGCCAAAGATGTTGTGTTAGTCAGCCTTCATCACTATGAAAAAAAATAACTGAAATAAGCAATTCATAAGGAGGAAAGGTTTATTTTGGATCATGATTTCAAAGGTTTCAGTACATGATTAACCAACTTCATTGCTTCTGGACCTATAGTGAGGCAGTACATCAAGGTAGGAATGGGTTGAAGAGAAAACTTCCCACTTGTGGTAGTCAGGAAGCAAAGGGATTAGAGTCCCAATATTCCCTTCAAGGATGCACCCCAAATGACTTAACTTCCTACCCTTTGGCCCTGCTCCTAAAGGTTCTACCATCTGCCAATAGCACCACAGGCTGGTTACCAAGCCTTTAACACATGGGTCTTTGGGGGACATTTGCCCAGTAGCAGTAGCAGATGTAGACAGCCTCTAGAAGCTGGAAAAGGCAAGAAAATGATTCTCTCCTAGAACCCCCATAAATTATCAGACTCAAGTAACTTTTTTGGTGGTACTAGGGATTGAACCCAGTGTTCTCTTGGCAATCATTCTGCCAGAATCAATCAACCTTTTTAAAAACATGTTGAAATGGTAAACACTCTTCAGAAAGAAAATAAATATCTTTCAACAGATTGAACTTAAACATCAAATAAAAAACAATACCATGATAAATTATAGGCACAAATAATATCACAAGCAAACACTGAGCACTAAAAATGATAGAAAATGTGGGCTTTGGACAATCAAAAAATAACCAGTCTCTTTTTTAATAAATGCCTTGTTGGCATTCAAACCCTACCTAGAAAACTAAAACATGAATCCAGCAATTACCTTTAAGACAAGTCTTATTTAAGACTAACATTTTAATCCATACATATCATGTCTAAACAGTGAAAATGGGAGAATCAAATATCCTGAATGAAATAAAATGATGATTTTTAAATTCACCAATAATTGTTAGATATTAATAATTTCCCTTTCCTAGAGAAGAAAGGAAAAGAAGAATGGATTCATTCCTGGTCAAGTTGAACGTCAAGTGGAGAGGTCAACAAGGATTTAATGAATTTAATATACTCACATCTTCTTAATAATGGATGTTGTTACAACTGTGACGAGGATTCTTTTGAAGACACAATGTGAAGCTCTGGATCCAATAGCAAGTAGTAGTTGCAATGGGTAATCACTTAGTAACCGCCTAAATGCACATTTTTATGAGACAGGTAACTCTTCCCAGGCAAGTAAAAAGCAGACTAATGAGATGTTCCTATGGGATTTGATATAAACATTAGAAAGGAAAACATCCCACCTCTTGTGACACCACCTAGAAGGAAGGCTATATAAGTACTTCAAAGAGGAATAAACCAACAGGCTTGGAATTTAGACTCAGTCGAGGGTGCTTGAGCTGGTAATCACAGATTTTGAAACAAGCTGAAGCTGGGCACATATAATGGATACCAAGGGCTGCACAACAACTCTTTCTTCAGCACCACCCCAAAATTGCTCTGGGATTACAAATTTTAGGACCATCTCCTCTAACAACAGCTGCCATCATGGTGGTCCTGAAGCCACAAGCTGCCAATCAACTGGCCATGTTGTGAGAACTCCCCAGGGTCAGTGCTGCCAACCCACTTCTTCTTATATTGGTCGCATCCCCATCTACCTGATAAGCAATTTCAATGGCCAGTCTTCTGTGGATGACTGCAGCTCATACCCTGAAGGCATCAACAATAATGAGAAAGAGACCATGCAGATTTTAAATGACCGCCTTGCTAACTACCTGGAAAAGGTGCGAATGCTGGAACGAGAGAATGCTGAACTGGAGGGTAGAATCCAGGAGGAGTGTAACAAAGAGCTCCCTGTCCTGTGTCCTGAATACCTGTCCTACTACACCACCATCGAGGAGCTCCAGCAGAAGGTAAGACTCTTAGCAGCCTACTTAATCAAGTTTTGAACCAGGGGTCTCTAAGCCATGGTTATTTGCTCAGATTTAGTATTTCTAGTTCCTCATATGCTGAAAATTTTGTGAAAAATAAATTTCTTGAGTGACGTTGTCATCTTGAGGTAACAGAGCTTTTTAAGTTTTTTTTTCCCAAAAATATAATCTACCATTATAACTTGATAACTCAGGATCAAAACATCCTAACAATCAGTTGCTACCGTTGCTTTAATAAAAAATAAGACAAAGCTCTGATAAAATAAATTTTGTTTTAAGTTTCTAAACAATTTAGTTTTATCCATATTGCAAACATCATCACCTCTTTCTCCTTTTATGTGCATTTTATCATTTTCACATTATTTAAATAGTTTGCTACTACACCAAACGTAAGTTTCCTATTCAGAGTGATCTGCTGCTACCCATCTGGATTAATGCAGCCTTACTTGATCACCAAGTACTTTCTGAGCTCTAACTACAATGTTCCAGACATTGTTATAGGCTCTGGGAAAATATTGGTACACTAAAATATTCCTGCCTTCATGGGATTTTCATTCTAGTGGTCATGGTATATTAGGCAAATGTAGGATAAATTTTATATTTTAACATAAAAACATATAAAACATTTTTATTTAAGTAGATTTTTTGATCTCTTAGGATAATAACAAGAACTCTGACTCTCCAAAGTTTCTTAAGTTTCTTGAGCACAACTCTTAAGAAAAGTCTAACTCACCTTTCCCTGTTAATGGAAACACAGAAACCCTTGGTTCTTAAAGAAGGAGGTCCTGGTGTTTGTCTCATTTGTGTGTACAATTTCTTAATTCTAGATCTTGTGTACCAAGGCTGAGAATTCCAGACTGGTCTCACAAATTGACAACACCAAACTCGCTGCAGATGACTTGAGAGCCAAGTAAGCTTACTCATCACTGTCACTGGTGGCGGAACTCACCCTGAGTTTCACCTAAATATTCCCAAAAAGATTATCTTCACATTTAACTAAGCCTCCGGTTCCACTGCATGTTGTCCCTAGCTCAGAGTTCTTCAAATTCAATAAATAAAATTAAGAACTCTCATGTGTACGTACTACCTGTAGTTCTAACATGTGGACCCACCTGCTTACCTGCTTGGTAGTTCATTGAAATAGGTAGGGCTAATCTATTGTCACCCTTTGTAAAACAAGGAAACTGTGGTTTAATGAGGAAGTCATTTATCCAAAGGCACACAACAAATATAAAACAGGACCAAAACACAGACCCAAGATTCCTAAGCCCTAATCCAGTGCTCTTGTCACTGATATTGCATTGCTTCTAGGGGAAGAGAAAGGAAAATAAATCCCCTCATCTCAAAGAATAGAAATGCAGCATTACTCTGTCAGACAAATTTAAGCAGAATAACTAAGTCAAATGGTTTCACCTCTAAAGAATGTAAAGCCATCCTCAGAAATCCTAAGTGAGAGACCCAGCAACAAAGACAGAAGAAAATTCTGCTTGGTTTGATTACAACATCTACTTTTTAATGTCTTGCTCTCTCCATGTCTGGCTTTTAAAGTTACGAAGCTGAAGTGTCCCTACGCCAACTTGTGGAGTCCGATGCCAATGGCCTGCGACAAATCTTGGATGTACTGACCCTAAACAAGGCTGACCTGGAGGCACGAGTCCAGTCTCTGAAGGAGGAGGTCCTCTGCCTGAAAACCAATCATGAAAAGGTTAAAGAAAAACCGAGCGAGTCAGCACAAGCTAAGCTTCTAACATTAGCATCAGTTCCTTTGGGGTGTACTTGACAAAGGGCATCCCACTAGATGCTGGCTGGATGTTAGCCCTGACAATACTGCTATTCCCTGCACCACTGGTTCAAATCCATAGGCTATAAATACAGTAAATCTGAAGCCACACAGATAGAAAGTCCTCCATTTTTCCAATTTCCCTGTCTTTGTTGACTTCCCATCTTTTTGCAGCCATCCTTGAACAGACTTACACAGCCTCCTTTTGTTACAAGTTAATTCTGGCATAAGCCCATATTGGTGTCATAAAGACACTATGATCTCACATCATAAATTCCACCTCTACTTCCTCCCACACCTAGAAATGACTTAAATCTTTTAGAATTCTGATCTTGTTAGTCAATTCCTTTTAATTTTGCACATATTTGAGCCCAGGGTCATACCTGAAATCATCTTATTGTATCTCCATAATAACCTATAAATCATATATCCCTTTACTGTGGGCTATATTTCAGATACAGTCAAGCTAAATCATTGCTGTTAGACTGAAATGAGAATACAAGGGGGTCATCTGTTCACCAAATAACTACATAGTCTTTTTTCTTTTGCCATAGGATGTCAATTCTTTACAGTGCCAACTTGGGAACAGACTCAACATTGAAGTAACTGCTGCACCTTCTGTTGACCTAAACCAGATTCTACAAGAAATGAGATGTCAGTATGAGTCCATCATGGAGACAAACCGTAAAGAACTGGAACAATGGTTCAACACACAGGTGGGGGATAGAAAAGTTGAAAACAATATGCAGACACATTTCTACAGTTCCTTTGATCAGTCATTTTTCCTTCCAAAATACCTGTTGTCTTTGTATTTCAGATGGAGGAACTGAGTCAACAAGTGGACACCAGCTCTCAACAACAGCAAGACTGCCAGAAGGAGATCATAGAACTGAGACGCACCATGAGTGCTCTGGAGGTTGAACTGCAGGCTCAGCACCGAATGGTACCCAGGAGGCTAACAAAACCTAGAACAGTAGTGATAGCAACACACCCTGACATCCATGTGTCACAGTGCTTCCCAAACTGTGTCCCTCAGAACAACAATTCCTCTGTTTGTTAAAGGGTCAATAGCTCAAAAAGACTTCATGATCAATGGTTAAACAGGGAGCCTTCCTGCAAACCTTTAATATGATATGCACCATATATTTCCAAGAAGGGGATATATGGTATTCAGCATTTCAAAATTTATTTAACTATGAGTCCTCTGAGTTTTTTAAAAGAACATCTCATGGTAATCATGAGCCATGGAGTACATTTTGGGAAACACTGGAAGAACACTGTATTATATGCAAAGAATTTTCTAGCCTATCATATTAGGATTATGAAACAACCTTATGAGGGAGGAGACATAATTACTAACCAACTTTACTGATGAGATTCCAAGAGTTAAGGTGATTTTCTGAGACCAAATCTGAAATAAGTGCCATCTCACCTACTTTATAGATGGAAACACAGATCCTGAAGCATTAAGTAATCTGCCCGAAGTCACAAAAGAAATGAGTCCTGAGCCAGAGTTCAGATTTCACAGTCAATACCACTTCTGCCTCGTGACACTGCCTCTCCGAAGTAGAAAATTACTCAAATGCCCTGCTATGAAGTCTATTAGAGAGACCTTGCCCCAAACTGGTTTTTTCACTAGCTGATCATGTGACCGTGGGCAACTCATTTAACCTCTTGAACCTCAGTTTTCCCATCTATAAAAATTGGGATGATTATGCAAATACTAGGTTATTAAAACCTAAAATCCCACCATTATCCATAGACTCACAGAGTAATAGAGCCAGAAAGATCTTGACTCACCTAAGTATCAACTCTCATGTTTTACATGTGAAGGAATCGATCTAGTGAGGGAAATGTTTATGGTTAAACATTGCTCACTTCCTTTCAAACACCATTGAATGAGGTGTTATGGTAATGTGTTTGTAATGCCTGAGTGTACAATGAGTTGAAGTATTTTTGTCTCATAAGAGAGTGTGGTGGGAGGTTATTGTGTGGCTAAAAATTAGAGAAATCAACACAGAGCCAAAAAAGAGGGGGTAAAAGAGAGCAAGCCTTAGAATAATTAAACACTTTGTGTTTGGATTTACTTGGTTAGGATGTAGTTAAAAAGGAGTGCAGAGTCATTAGAAGTTGTCACAAAGAAATCATTGTTTAAAGTGATTTAACAATAACCTGGGCTTCAAGGAGTCATCATTATAAATCTTCTTTGCTCCTCCATGGTAGAGAGATTCCCAGGAAAGCATCCTGACGGAGACAGAAGCCCGCTACACAACCCTGCTCGCCCAGATCCAGAGTCTGATCCACAACCTGGAGGCTCAGTTGTCAGAGATCAGAAGTGCCCTGGAAAGACAGAATGAGGAATATGAGATTCTGCTGGACATCAAGACCCGGCTGGAGTGTGAGATTGCCACATACCGCAGCCTTCTAGAGACCTCTGACAGCAAGTACGTAAAATAAAAACAACTTGTATGAGAAAGATACACACACACACACACACACACACACACACGTGTACAATGGCATTGGCATCAGGGATCAGCACTTTGATCTTCTTGACAGTGATAGGGAGCTCTGAATGGAAGCACCCATATGCTCTCTCAAGCGGTGCCATCAGGAGACCTACAATTGTAACCTAGCCCAAACCTGGGCGTGGACTGAGCTGAGCTGTTTGAAGAACAGTGTACCAAGTTCGATCCTTATAGATTGTTTTGCTTCTTAGAGTTTTTTTAATTACTAGAGAAGAAATGGTATCCCGGTCATTCTCATTCTTTCTCTAGAGATGACTTACTTTTAGTCAATGGAAACTGTAATCCTTTCCTAATAAATGTTACCATCACTTTCAAGAAAGGAAGAAAGACTCTTTTGAGATAGAACTCCCTTTGGAGGAACCTTCTGCTTATGCTGAAACCCCCAACCTTATCTAGCCACAGGTCCTTGGTGTGAATGGCAGCATGTTTACATGTATGTTTCAGCATCCTATTTTTAAAAACAAAAGTATTTTTAAATGATAATAAGCCAACCCATAAAGAACTCACCTAGGATACGAGCTTATTGAAGAACTGCTCCTACAAACTAATACTGCAAGTGCGGACTTAGATACAATTGCAAAGGACTTCTACCTCCCCAAATAATTGGTGAACTCTTTTATAGTATTCTCTTCATTGGCATGTCTACACCACCAAGCACAACATTAACTGATACTGTCACCTTTAAGAGCTACAAAATACCAAAGTTCCTCCCATCATCAAAGAAAGATTATGTATTTCAAAAGGGTGTTTAGGTCTGTTGGTATAGCTCAGAGATAGAGCACTTACCTACCACACACCAGGCCCTGGGTTCAAGCCCCAGCACAACAAAAAATAAAAGAGGGGTGTTTACTGTTAACTGCTTATTACTCTAATTCAAATGGTAAGCACCTCAACTTGTTTCTCATCACTGTTGATCCTGTGAGATCCAGGATTCATTCTGCAGATGCAAAGCTAAAAGCTCCAGAAGGTGAGCAGCTGGCAGAGCTGAGCAGTACCCCGGTCTTTAACAGGGCTGTACAGTACACTTCTGGCATTGACTGTAGTGGAAGCTTGCATCATGTAATACCTCTCAACCTAGGATGCTCTTTTCCAATTGATCTGGTCCTATTCTTTTTCTCCCACCAACTATGATACAAAATGAATGAATAAGCATTTGGCAATATTTATTTTGAGTGACAAGTGTTGAAAATTTAGCCACCCCATTTTTATCCACCCCATCTTTCTCCATAACCATCATTGGCCTCCCTCAATCACAGGTAAAATTCTGGGGGTGGGGGTTGGTTTTGTTTGTTTATTTGTTTGTTTTCTTTAGGCTTCCCTGTAACCCATGTGCCACCAAATATGAGCCTTCCACTGGTACACCATGTAAGACCAAAGCCATGGAATGCACTGCCCCAGCTACTACATCTCCAGCCCCCGTGGGATACTCAAGCATCACAGTGCCTATGGACCCCCACCCCGGATACTGGTTAAAATATGCACCATCACCAAGGAGATCAAAGATGGGAAGGTCATTTCTTCTCATGAGCACGTGCAGCCTTGCTACATCATCCGACCTGCCAAAGTCTAACATCACAAGGTGATGAGAATGGCCCACATTCATGAAAGAGAGGCCAATACATGCATCTGCCAGAAAAGTTTAAGAATCCCCCAGTCCCTTCAGGTACTTAGTTTCTTATACTATAGTGGGTCCCCATGGCTAGATAGAGTATCTTTTATTCTGCTCTTTCCCTAAGTCACCATGCCAATATGACAATAAATGACATTTCTCTGGAAGGACATTTTGCATTTGTCAGAGGGATGGGAACTGATTAACAAGTACCCAGGAAGGTGGCCTACATGGTTTGACTCCCCAGGTGATGGATGGGCAGGTTTTTGTTTGCTCAGGTCTTGTTTACCTATGTGCCTCCTTAGAGCCAGTCAGACCAGTTCTGGGATTGTTTTTGGACATTAGCACATGAAGGTGAAAAGCTACAACCTTCCCTTCCATTCTTTGGATATAAAGAGACGCTTACACAGGAACAGAATGAATAAGGACAATCAATAATGTTGAGTTTCCTTGAGCGAGACACTCTGAGTCTGGATTCTGTTTAACTCTGCTTTCTCAGTTATTAATGTATATTGTCATACTTTACCTTCCCCCAAGATTTTTTTAAAGATATATGTTCTTTTTTTTTTTTTTTAAGTTTTTTGAAACAGGTTCTCACTATGTAGCCCAGGCCAGCCTGGAGCTCAAGATCCTCCTGCCTCCACCTCCGAAGTGCTGGGATTGTAGGCCTGCACCACCACAACTGGCTGATGTTCATATTCCCTAAACATTGTGAACCATTGTGAAATATTTTCTTGGAGAACCAGAAATAGTTGCAGGGAATGAATCCAGAGCTACTTCTTCAAAGTTATTTCAAAGTTATAGCCAGGATCCTTTCATTAAATGTCTGCTATTTCTCTTTCTGTTCCTTAGGGAATGGGAGTTTGAACTGCTTATTTGACAAGGGACCTGTATAGCTGGAATTCTCAAGACATAACTCCTGATGGGTGACAATGAAAAAGTAGCTTAGATTCCTGCTTCAGTCTATCCATCAGAGACAAATGGACTTAATAGACACACACTTTGCAGAAAAGCAATAGTGAATACTTGCTGCTTGCAAGCAGGAGATCATCCCAAAGTAAGAAGGCATCATTTACCAGTATCATAGCTTCCTACCATAGGGCCACAGAGTAGGTAAGTCATTCCCTACAAAAATTATTAGACATTTCTGGAAGTTTCAGTAATTCCAAATCAAACAAAGAATGCAGAGTTCAAAGGCCTGAAGTCCTAAACTTGCACCTTCCCAACCATGATCCTGAACAAAACATTTAGTTTTCATAGATCAATCTCCTTATTGGTTAAATGAGGATCATACCTTACTTCACAGGGTTGTTGTGAACATCAAATGAAATTTGTGTAACACTACTTTGTACATTGAAAAATAGTGCATAAATGTGATCTTTAAACAAGATTTGCTTTTAGCTGCATTCCTAGATCTAACTTGGCCATCATTATCTCATTTTAAAATTCTTTCTCTATGAATTTAGTTATCCAGTCATGATTTGAGAGTATTATTAATAGTTTTGAGGGAGAGGTGGAAAAGAACAAGATTTCCTGTGATCTTGCCCACAATTCTACTCAATAAAGAACTTTTGAATTCTTAGGGTATGTATCAGGTATCAGTTGATACCTAGTGGCCACATCAAAGAAAACTCACAGCTCAGCAATTTACTTCCTCCAGACAAGTAGGGACTTACTCTAAGCAAGTGGAATGCAGAACTCCCAGAATGATCCCCTTTCTATTGATAATTTCCTTCTCTGAATGGGCAGAGCACCTCCAGTTGGCATTTGATTGCATACTGACTCAGCCTGCAAGATGGAAATATGGAAAAAACAAAGAACATGGACTCAGAAACCTTGAAACAGAGTCTCAACCCAGACTGTGTGCATGTGACCTTGAGTAAAAGGGATTTGACAACAGGTCCTGCCTGATGCATCACTGGAAGGAGTAACTGGTGTAGTGATGGTGGCAGGGTTTGTAAAAGGTTTAAGATGCCATGCAGAAGGCAATTCTTACTCCCTAAATTAAAAAACAGACATATATAATTTCCACCCATACCTTTGTCCTTTCTGTCTGATTCAGGGCTGGGCCAGGTGGACCCTGCCCAACACAGACCATCAACACTAACTGGAAAACCAATTGGCAAGAGATCTGATTCTAACTAGAATGGAGGTTTGGGAACCTTGGACTAATGCAAGAACACTCTTCTCAATGTATTCCAGAAATAAGACATGTTCCTCTCACTCAGAGTGAAGTATACCCCAGTCTTCTAGAATACAAATACATTATAAACAGCACAGCAGAGAGGGAATTTGCCCACTCAAAGTCCTATAGACTCTTTTCATTGTCTTCTTTGTATAAGAGAATGTAAAAACCTCCTGCAGGCCCTTGTATACATGTGGTCAGCCCTTCTAAAGACAATATGAAGTCTGAATTTTACTAGTAACCTAAATAAATATCCCATACAGTCACAGGACGGAGTTCAAGGGGGTTTTTTACATAGTTCAGCATAAGTCAGCAGCTGGAGTAGAAAAGGGAAAGAACAGATTCAAAACAAGTGTAATTTTCACCCTGCTCAAAAGGTAACACAGTATGGTTCCTGGAGCCTGAGTCCAAATCTTATCTCTGCCTCTCACTGTGAGGGTCCATAACCACATTTCTAAACAAGGGAAATGTTTTAAATATATCTTTCTAGATTTTATCTTTCTTTGTGTTGATAAGATCACAGATTTCATTTTGTTTTTTTTTTTTTTTTGTAGGTGTTTTTAGGCAATATTGAGGTCTGAACTCAGGGCCTTGTGCTTGCTAGGCAGAAGCTTTACCACTTGAGCCACATCCCCAGTCCTTTTTTGCTGTAGTGACTTTTCCAATAGGGTCCCAAGTTTTTGCCTGGGTCCAGCCTCAGACCACGATCCTTCTACCTAGACCTCCCACATAGCTAGGATCACAGGCACATACCACCATGCTTAGCTTGTTTATTGAGATGGGGTCTCACTAACTTTTTCCAGCACTGCTCGCAAATCTTCATTCTCCCAATCTCTGCTTCCTGAGTAGCTAGGATCATAGAAGTACACCACCAGCCCAGACTTGTAGGAGGTTTAAATTCTCCCAAATACAGAGGTAACCACCCTTGCTTTTTCTCTCTCCCCTCTCTCTCCCCTTTGATTCTTACCCTTTAACTGCCCCATCCATTTACCGCCAGCAGATGGCTCACAGCCTCTCCATCCTTGCCTCTCAAGAAACTTCTCCTTAGGAGGTCAGTTAGTGATGACCCCTTACACGATACCCTCCAGGATTTCCCTAGGGCAATCCAGAACTACGGATCCACCTGCAATCACACCCTCTCAGGAGCTTATAAATTCAGATTCTTGGGCCAAACACCTGATCTCCTGCATTAGCATCTGTAGCTGAAGGACCTAGACATTCAATTTTTTTTAATTTGGTTGGTTTTTAAGACAAGTCTTGCTACATAGCTCAGGCTGGCCTTGAACTCATAATCCTCCAGAGTACTGGTATTATAGGTTTGTGCCATTATGCCTAGCTTGGAAATACAAATTTTAACAAAACTCCCACCTGAGGTGTATGCACTGAATTCAAAGCCACTGCTTTATAATAGATATGTAATTTTTATCTTATAGATACAGATGACTCAAGGACTTTTTTCCATCTTTTTTAATGAATATATTAGTTGCACATTAATAGAAATTCACTGTGATAGTTCCACATATACATACATACAGCATGCACTGATCATATCTATCTACCCTTCTTTTTGAGTTTCTCTTTTCAATTCTGATAGTAGCATCGTTGACAACTACACTTACAGATTTCCTCCTCTACCTGTCTATCCACCTGTTTACAAAATAGGGTTAATCAGTAATAATCAATAACTTAATAAATGTTATTAACTCAATTATTACAATACCACCATGAAGTAGCTACTATTACCAGACAAGAAAACTGCTAGACAGAGAAGTCAAGTGATCCACCCAACACCACACAATGTGATTGAATTCTAAGTACTTTGATTTCTTTAGGTCCTGATACATAATCACTCCCCAAAATAGAAATAATCCCAAATAGCAATGATGTTTTCAACATGGTTGTATACTTTTGCCAGTTGCCTATCCCTGCTTCTAGTTGAGAAACCATTCGAATCTTTATGTCATTAACATTAATCATTCCCTTTACCCAGAAATGCATAGGTAGGTAGGTTTTAGCATTAGTAGCCTTTTTCATATCACATAAGGAGAAACTGGGGCCCAGAGAGAAAGGCAATCGGTTCATGAACCACACTCAATGAGAAAATCCATTGCTCTTCCTTCTGCTTCTCATTCTTACAAGTGTAGTGGACAGTAGTGGAATGAGATCTAATGGAACCAACACTGGTCACAAGACAATGACCTTGGGTTCTAGTTCCCAAGAATATCATTTGGCTTCTCTGTGCTTGGGTCTGTGAAGAATCATGAACTCTCAGACTTAATATCCTTGATTGTTTTTACAGTGCTGATGTAGCGTGACTCACCTTATTGTGTCTAGTCTTCTACACCTATAACTAAGAAATGATGCCAGAAATAATATCCCAAAACCCCACCAGGTGTTTTTAAAGACAATAAGATGAACCTGGTGAGGAGCAGGGGGGAGAAATGGCCCAACTAATGTATGCACATATGAATAAATGAATTTTAAAAAGAAAAAAATAAGATGAATCAGGGGCAGGTAGCTTATACCTATAATTCTAGCTACTTGGAAAGCTGAAATCAAAAGGATCACAGTTGAAGGCCAGCACAGGCAAATAGCTTGTGAGACTCACATCTCCAAAATAGCCTCAACAAAATAGACTGGAGGTATGGCTCAAGCAGCAGAGTGCCTGCTTTGCAAGCACAAAACCCCTGTTCCACCAAAAAAAAAAAAAAAAAAAGACAATAGGACATCGTTAGTGAGATCTTTATGATTTTTAGAAGCTAACAATTGTATGTTT